CTTGCCCCTCCCCCTCTGAGTGTGTACACGCCACCGATCTGCACGCGAGACGCGAGGTGAGGAGCAACACATTGGTGTCAGTGGATGACAACTTAGTTGAGAGGAACAGAGCCCCCAATATCGCTGAGCATGTGCTGCGTCAACACGTCGCAGACCGATGTCCTTTGCCGTAGGTGAACAAGCCTGAACAGACTCACTTATGCATCTTACCTTCATGCTTTCCGGCAAAAACACCTCCCGTCCGTCCACATAGTGCGGTTGATATGCGAACTTAGTAGACTGCAGAGCACAACGCTGCCTACCCATCCACTCATCCATTCCCCGTTTTCAGTCTTTCCGCCTCAGATACATTGCACTTGACTTGCAGTGTGCACACTCATCAGCAATGGTAATACCCAGACATTTTGCAGCACACACTGCCAAAGACATATATGTGATATTCAGCCTATGATGTGAATCTCTCATGTCAGCACACAGCAATGGAGAATTTGTGGTGGGACTTGATGTGACTGAGCAGCTGTGACGACCAGAAGAAGAAGTAGCTAATTGTCAAGATGTGTTGAGTATATTTAAGAGCACAACTCATCAATTTTCACTACTACGTTTGTCACAGTAATAAAGCCGTAAGTTCGGTTCTCAGTGTAAATAGCTGAGGGAGCATCACTACCAGCTCAACTTCTGATGACAAAAGACAATAGGGTGACTTGCAAGTCTCTTTCCTATCAACCACACCTTCTAGCTTGACAATTTGGCTCAAAGTGGTAGAGATTTCGATTCCAATTTTGTGCTGAAGTCCTGGCTGTGGAACTCGACTATCTCCCGGTTTTATGTTTTGTCGTCAAGGCCATGACAAATAGGTAGAATAGGCCTCAGAGAAGTCAGCCTGATTGCATCTTTGAAGACCTGAATGCTTCCTCATTCAGACACCTTTGAATAGACAATTCTACAGTCGCACCGACCAAGGTGATGGGATGTTGCAATGGTCCTCGACAGATCTACATTCACATCATCGGTTGAAAGACTCCTCGTTTTTAAAAACATGTTTTTACATAATTTAAACTCTTTGAAAGATGTTCCACTTTGCAAAGTGTCCAATCATCGTTGTTGAAGGAAATGGAGGAGGAGAAGTGAAATTCACTGCCAAACTAGCCAAAATTCTTACTTTTTCGTCCTCGCCGAACAGTGCAACATAACAGCACAGTAAACAAGCGATATTTATTGAACAACCGCCTACGAGCAGATGCTTACAATGGAGAAGGCTATAACCATCTCCTTTGTGGTCTCACCTCCAGTTGCTTTCATTGCCCTCTCAAAGCCACATCCTATTAACCTAGGCAGAGTTTTAGAACAACGGCATTGCTGTTAACTGTCCGTTATCACGTAGACGGTAAGCCCTCTAAAGTTAACACGCTCCTACTTATTTAATTGAAGTAAATCTAGTTAAGTGTTTCCATTTTAGGTCACAAATACAGGAATGGGAGGTCAAAATCAGCCAATCACTACATCTATCTCTACTACTTCTTGCTCTTACCTGTCGCTCTCCCTCTCCTGTCCCACTTTGTCCACTGGTCTTTCATCGATTGGAAAGGAGAGGTGGTTCCCTTGCCCACTTCCAGCACCATCACTTGCCCCCAAATGACCTGATGCATTTACAGCCACATCATCATCACCATCAGTAGC